TCTTTGCGCTTGAGATAAATAATTTTTTTTAAAATATCCGGAACTCTCTTAGGCTGTTTTAGTTACGTAAAAGATTTAAATATACATGCAGTGACTTATAAGTAGTTAGACAACTATTCTTTCGGAAATTACCTTGACGAGAGATGTCGTGCGCTGCTAATTTACAGATGTATTCAGAAAATTTGCAACGATTATAATGCAAAAATATGCAGAGTGCGAAGGAATGCGCTAAGAAAAGATCGTCATTAATAATAAGTACATTTGTATCGTGTTTGTAGCGTGAATTTTTCTTAGTGACGTCACAATATTTCCCACGCGGCGTCGTTTTTTTTTCTGTTTTTGTATAACAATTATTGCGCATACTGATTTCTTTGTCGTCATCTCTCTATGACTTAATATTTTAGTATTTGGGCAGCACGGAGGTGGACCAACCTAAAGGCATCGAGGTCGTTAAGGAGGCGATTTGCAAACTGAAATTCAATCAGCAACTCAAGAAGAGCGAAGGCACGAAAACTCCGAAGGTCGAACTCACTATAAGCATCGATGGCGTGGCGATACAGGAACCGAAAACGAAAACGACGTCCAAGGTTAGTGCCTATTTGTCGACGTGAAGAATTAACTTTTATACCACAATTGCTTTCAGTATTCACGCACCCAAGGCTCGATTACTTGGTCATCGTTTGATCGAAGGTTATTCTTCCAGCGAATTATGCATCAGTATCCGTTACATAGAATTTCATATTGCGCCGACGACAAAGGAGAGAAGAAGTTCTTCAGTTTCATCGCAAAAGAAGAGGACGCGGAGAGGCATACATGCTTCGTTTTCGTCAGCGACAAACTAGCCGAGGAGATCACGCTGACCATCGGTCAAGCCTTCGATCTCGCCTACAGGAGGTTCCTGGAAACATCCGGTAAGGATCTAGAGACTCAACGACGTTGTATGGTGCTGCAGCAGAAAATAAAACGACTTGAACACGAGAACAACGTTTATCGGCAACGATTGCAAGATGTGGCGGCTATTAAAGGCTCGGTTAGTTTGAAAAAATATGTGAAACTTATTTTTTTATAAGATTCTTGACGTAATATGACGTAATGATTGTTTCAATCTTTCTCAATTATGTACATTTTTTTTTCCATTTAGGCGGATGTATCGGCATACCTATCGCAGCATAATATACCCGATATTCTTCACATATCTGGATCTCCTACGGATTCATCACAGGTCAATGGTACGACTAGCAAGCCATTGTTGAATATGAGTGACAGCAACGGAAATACGTCTAATGGACCTCAGCAACCGCCGCCAGTTCCACCGAGGAGTTTCGAGACGAATTTCGACGATGATTTCATGGGGTATAGTCAACATTCACTGTAAATTTCATCAACTTCGGCTTTCTTAATTTCATATTTTCATTTTTTATAGGAATGAGCCGGCACCAATGCCGTCGGTTGGCACCAAATTGGAAGGGCTGTTGATGGATGAGTTTGAAGAAGATTTCAACCCAAGAGCTTATGAGACCGCAGCTAATGGTCTTGCTAATCATCAGTCAAATAATCCGCTCCTTAACGGTCAAATATCTTCGGGATCGAACTTCTTCTCACAATCTAACGGCACAACCAGTCCTCCGCCCCTGTGTAAGTATATAATTTATGGACATTAATTAACTTGTATGATGTATGCATTGAAAATATTGCTTTTTTCTATCCAGTGGCACCACCACCAAAGACGAAAGACTCGAGACGTCAAAACGGAGTCAAGGAAGATCTGTTTGGTAGCATTCCTTTCAATCCTACGCCAACTTTAAATATGAAGAATGAATTTAAGGATCCGTTCGAAATGGGAGAATTCGGAGCTTCGACCATGACATCTAATCCTAGCCAACAAGAACTGGAAAACGCTATCGGTCTATTGGATAAGAAGCTGCTGGAGATGAAGGTGAAACATGCAGTCCGTACTTTTTAATTGCTTCTTTTTTAAATAGGTTACAACATGATGAAAAATTTTCAGGATGGCTTTAGTAGAGGGCTGTGCATTGGAACTGATGACTTTTCTCTGGAGAGCTTGGACCCACTGCGAAATTAAGCTCGTTAATCAGATCAGAAGCTACGAGCGAAAATTTTTATTAGTGCTCTAGAATGCAGAGTACGATATATCAATTAACGGATAAAGCAATTAGGGATTATGTCCGTGTAAAACCAAAATTAGTCAATTATTACTATTATCCTATTCGTATATTTATGATCATGTTCGATATTTATGGTACACATATGTGAAATAATTCAATAAGCGTGTATCCTATACTCTCTGGTAATCTATGCTATTCTATCCGTTGCTTTAGAACTTGGGTCCAATCCGAACAGCGCACCGAAAACGCGTTATCGTTGTTAATGATGAGTCAATGAGACGAGATCTCAAGTCGACCGTTAGAGTGGAATGAGATATTATTCTAATCAAGACAACATAATTATTTAGACGAAAATTTGTTATATACATATATACTTAAAAAAAATCTTATCGCGAATCTCATCGACGATGGTATGCTTGCGTCTTTCATATTTTTTAACGAGATTGAAAAAGAATGAATTAATATTGTAATCCTTAGCCACCGAATCGGAGAATTGGTGACGGCTGAGTAATCTCTTATATTCTCAAGCTATAATTAAGAAAGGAACATAACCAAACGTTCCCTTTTGATTTTAATAAGCTTTAAATATGTAAAATATAGATAAAAAATGAGAGGCATATTTTTTTATAAATGCTGAGCCGCATGATAGGACAGTGAAGCCCTCTCTTGAAAGAAACTGATTGGTTTATAAAAAAAATACGTGCCTATTTTTTGTATATTTTAACACATCCAAAGTTTATTAAAATTGGAAGGGGACACTTAGTTTTGTGTTACCTTGTAAGAAGAGAGTTGATAATATATTGTATATTTTACACTCGGCCTGATATAATTTAAATTTGTCATATTGTTCAATCGTCTGTTGGAAAATGAGCTATTAGATGAAAAAAGAAACGAAAAAAAGCGGAGCACTAACCGTTGTAGCGTTTAGAAGTCACACTAATAATGAACGCATAGCTTTCATAGTCTGTCGATTGAACTCATACACTCAGCATATCCTCTTTCTTTGGTCCGTCGTACATACCTTTCTTTTGACGCGCGAACCTAAGCGGAAGGAGAAAAGTTTAATTGTAAGTGAGAACTTCTGGCTGTAGAGTTTACGATAATCTCTACGATCCAACCAAACGTAAAGACGTTAAACGAGTTCACGTTTACTGCTATATAAAGAGGATTAGTAATTATGTACATATGAAATATTATTGTTGCTATATTGTTTAAGAATCATAGTTAAGAATATAGCATATGGATTATTTCAACTGAAATGTTGAACATCCAATACGTCTTCCTTATACTCTGTATATTAAATCTCGAAATAATCTGAAGTTGTGCAATCGTCTCGTCATAATATCATATAATCCCCGATATTTTCATGACTGAAATGTCATAAACAAAATAGCTGTCAGTTTCAAAATCATGGTCACAGTCCCAACTTTTAAAAATTAATTTGTTTTCGATCGTCCAATTTCCTCCAAATTTCACTTTTACTTCCTTTAAAATTACATACGATGGCATTTCCAAGACTTGCCTTTCTTATTTTCTATATAATTTTGGTCAGCAATGTCGCGTTGTCTCAAGGTGCAGATAATAACGGTAAGGAAATATATATAATGCGAGTTAAATATTTCAAAACATTAATGAAATATATAAAAAAATATATTTTTAAAGAAAATATAATGGAAGAAAGCACGGACTATGCTCTTAAAAAATCACATCGCTATTCAGTTATCGAGGAGAATTTTTCAGAAGAATCGCAAGATAAGGTCTAAATTCAATATATATCTTTCTATCACACAAATATAAGTGATATATATATTGTGTTTATGTACAGGCAATAGAATATCCTCTACAAGATACTTTGAAGACTGCAAAATGTTACGTAGAACCTCGAAATAGCGAATCGTTGAAGAAAATATTGTCGTCTACTTGCGCACCTGATGAAGAAAAGCAAATTTGAAAAACATTTGTGCAACAAATATTTGGAATAGCTGTGTATAATTATTTTAGCGCGAAAAACACATTTAATAGGAATATTTATATATTTTGATACTGTAACAATAATTATTGATTAATCAGCAATTATTGATCAGTCAAGCAATTATCACAAAAATTATAGAAAAATCTATCACATGGTAATTACATAATATAAACAACGTAAAAGCCTAGAATAGATCTTAAAAGCTTCCAAAAGACGCCCTAATTTTTGTATATTATTTACAATGTTTTGAAAAAATTCTAGTATCTTAAATATCTTTTACAGAAATTTATTGGAAAATAGTGATTAATTATTTATCGAATATTAAAAGCATTGTTGTTCAATACTAATATTCAAGATAAGTAATTTCCAATATTAAATGGAATTTTTGTAAGGAATTCAAGTAAAACATACATCAAACCATAATTTAAAAAGACCAAATGCAACATTACACACAATGACAGTTGAATGTAATTTAAGGTAGATTTCTGATTAATGTTAAATTTCTAATACCGACTTTATATTAGCTTATAAAATTCAGAACCAATTTCTGATTCGTCTCAAATGTCGTCACTACTTCGGAATTGGTTCACCTGGACCCTTACTTTTTTTTTAACTCTTAACAACAGTAACGATATTATTGTCCTTGGCTTTTTTTTACCATGTATAAAACCTGCGTAACGACAATGTAACAATGTCGTTACTGTCGTTAAGAGTTCGGAGTACTGTATTCCATAATTCGTTATACATAACGAGTTACAGAATACAGTAATCTTACATCATTCATCAAACCATTTTCAAATTAGGCGCGTTTCTCGCGCGCACGCGCAATGAAGCATCACGTGATTCGCGGGCGCGCCGCAGGCGGCGCTAGCGGCGCGAACGTGGCGCGACACGCGAGTCGTGACGGTCGTGACGCGTTGCGTCAATTCAGTCAGTATTCAGCGGACTTGCGTTGTGTTCTGTTCGTTCCTTGGTTTCGTTCGGTTTTCCGTCGAGTCACGGGAGAAAGAAGAAAAGAGAGAGAGAGAAAGAGAGAGAGAGGTAGCCGCCGAGAAACGCCACAGGACAAAAGTGCCTTCTTCCTTCGCCGCATACGAAGATCCCCGTCAGGATGGCGGACGACAATCACGAGAACGGCACCAGTAACGGCGACGTACCCGAGATCGAGCTGATCATCAAGGTGAGTGTGCCACGCGCGGTCGAGGATCGCCATGCGAGCGAGACAGACGGTTCGGAACGGTGCGTTAGAAGGGAGAGAGAGGAAGACAGAGGAAAAAGGAGGCGGTTGTCCCGTGCGCGTTATGGGCGTGGAGCAGCCAACTGGTTTTCGTTTACTCCTGTAGGAAACCACAGGCTGTTCTCTGATCCTTTCCTCCTATCCCGGTGGGACGCCGCGACCGTGAAATCGATCGTTCAACGGTAGCCGTGGTTGGTCAGAGCGTGGAAATAATCCGCGTCATATATGACCGTTGACCGTTCCTCAACCTTTCTTTCTCTCCCTCTTTCTTCTGTACCAACTTTGTTTTCACTTCGCGTCGTATTCACGTCTGTGATCTCAAATATCTCTCGATGCCGGGCTCTCGCCGACTCTCGCGTACGTTCGTCGTTCGAAGCCTTGATCGTTTCTGTTGCCCGAGCGAGGCTCCCTCGCGCGTTCGCCGACGCGTGATCGCCAGGGACCGGAGCCGTGAACGAGCGAGCAACGGACGCGGTTGCACGCGAAGAGTACGTGCGTACACGTATATAAGTATATACGCCGCCGTTGCTCGACCGATACGCGGAGAACGAAGAAACTCCTCCCTGCGAGAAGGGCTCATCGCGGTGACTACACGTGTCACGAGTTTCTCGGCTCGCATGTCTAACGTTACATCAAGGGATCCAGACCGGTTTACCCGTCGCCCAATCTCCGCTGCGGACTCGCCATCGTCGCGAATGAAGATTTCCGTCTCTAGCTCACACCGGTCGGCGTTAAATAAACTGCGTCGGGAAGAGAGCCTTTACATCGCATCACTTCCTAAGTCTTACAGTATGCGCCAAAAAAAATGCGACTCTCTTTTAATCACTATTATGTTTGCTGAGTGTCACACCGTAACGCAGCGATTGCAATTAAAGGAAATCATATCGAATAAATATTTGGTAGGACAAAATATTTGTGTTATAATCAAATTTTCCCCCGTCCACTCACTTTATTTAACTACCGATAACTGAAGTGTTAGTTGTGAGAGTCGCATTTTTTTTTTGCGCATACTGTATGTTCACAATGCTAGAAATTGCTTCGAGATCTCGGAGAGAGAACGAATTTATCAATCAAATTAATAAAATGACCGAATTCAAATTCTTTTCGCAATAAATCATCTATAGGTTTTTTTAAGGTGCTAGTAACATCGAATTTGGGGGACTATTATTATTATTATATATTTCAGTTTGATTGCGCTAACTCTAAAAAGTAATCGGCGCGCAATTATATTTGAGATTTATTGAATAATGAATAAAGGCTAATAGGAGAATTAGTTGTTTTTTATTATAAGGATTCTTTTGGTTTTTAGATTTATTTAAATATATGTATTATTCCAACTTGGAACGTGAGTGGCGCTTCTCTTATTCATTGTTAGTTGATTTCACATGACGGTTTTATTTCTAAATTATTATTGTTCAAATGATTATTAATTCTTCCATTCGAGATCTCGGGGCGATTTTCTTGCTTCGCGAAACACGAACAGACGCAAGGCTTGAAAAGCAGACGTTAAACGTTCGGCACACCGCGAGGCGGAGAAGCGCGACGCCGACGCGCCGTGCGTATGTTACACATTTCTTTACGCATGGAGTCATCGAGGGCGCCGAAGCCGCGACGTTCCCCTTCTCCCTTCGCCGGAGAGGCGCTTGTGCATTCTGCGGGCGTTACGTCGCGCGGCAGATGGGACACGACGAAAAGGTGCCCGCTCCCCGCCATCGTTCCTGTTCCTTCCCGCCACTTCCCGCTTTCCGATGGGAAAAGCCACCGGGTGAAAAAAAAGTTGTCTCGCGCGCGGCGCGACTTCGCGACCCGCTGGAAGTGGACGGGAAAATGAAAGGCCAGTGGCTAGACTGGTTTTTCCGCCAATGCCCGCCCTGGAACTTTATTTTCGAAAGATATCGCACGTGGAAATACTAAAGAAATCTACAAAACACGCACACACTGTTCAATTCGCTGTTAAATTTATGTCAAATTATACTCGATTTGATTTATTTTTTTAATTATTTCTATGTCGCCACTGCTTCCATTCAATATGTCATTAATTTAACTAAAATGGAGTTAAGTTTAATTTTTAAAAATGTATCGAATTTAATTAAATTTAGTTTAAAATACATCGTGTAATATGGTTCAATTAATATAAATTAATAATAAAAATATTGAGAAGGGCTACGAACCATAAGAACCGTTTATAATTTAAATATGATATACTTATTATTGTATGTTTAACATTGAGAATGACCCGGGCTCTGGGGGGGGGGGAACGCCGTTTGTTTTTTTTTTTTTTTTGGTCTTTTTTATT